TATATATATATATTTATATATGTATACGAAGTGTAAGGATAATTAACATTTAATTTATAGTCGTTTAAATACGTACGAGCACGTGCACGCGTACGCGCGCGTGTGCGTGCACGGTACAGTTGGATCGTTATCGTTTAATTATTACGAGATGATAAGAACTAAATATTGCTTGTTTGTTTTCGAGGCGATTAATCGCTCTCGCTTGTCGCTTCCTCTCGTTATTTCACTACTTTCAGTGTATGTATTTACATGGTCTTCACCGTTTGCCTTTTTACGCGCCGTGCCGTGTGCTACTCCTTTTTCTCTCATTCTCGACGTCTCGTTATTAACTTTTCAAAATCCTAAGCGCTTAGGTTTCTCCTCTAGCTCCGTTTTAACTTCGTTATTTGTAATAGTGTTCTCAAAATACAGGCAAGGCGGGGAATCGAGACAGTGTATAGAATGACAATCATGAAGAACATCACCAGGAACCGCAACCGATATCACCAAAGGAATTTTCATTATTGCTTGCAATGCGATATTATTGTGTAACGAATAAAAATGTTTCCTAGATTCTGCTTCGTTTTTCATCTCTTGTGCTTTCAGTGTCATTCTATAAGATGGGACGCCTTACAGACTGACATCGAGAACACAAATTCCTCATACAATATTCGAGGAGTTCCTGGAGCGTAATTTCTAACATACTAGCATACGTCATGTTGTACTTTTTCATTACTCGACATTCCATAGAATGCCTGCGAATCGTCCACATTGCCTGGTTATTAAAGGATATCAGCAAATCAGTGTAAAGGCCTTGTGAATCTACAATACATCGTTTGAGAGTCCAGTTTGAACGCTCGTTAAACTTATTACGGTATAATTGCCGGGAAGATCGAGGAAGGACTTTTCGTTCAACGGTGTCCGGCGGGCAGATAGTGAATAGTATGAGGGTAATAGGTAATTTTCGGAGTATGGAGAAACGAGGATCATCAGTTTCGTAAAGATCTCGCACGCGAGCACCGCGGTTTCGGCATAAGGGTGAATGGTGAATATGGGTGATCGCGTATTCCCGCTATGTCCTGAAAGGATTTAGCTAAAAACGGATTTCTTTGGATTCAAAATTGTTTAGCGTTGCAACGTCGGACGCGAGGGGGAGATTTTTGCGGAACCGAAGCCTCGAAGGATCTTGCGAAGGAAGCCGAAATTTAAAAACGATGATGTAATACACTCCTGCATTCTTGAAAAGAATCGCACATTCTCTCGCTTTCGCACTCTCTTTCGCTCTCTTTCGCTCTTTTTCCCTTTCTCTCTCGCTTCGCACGGAATCGTATCGCGATGCACGTTACTCTTTAAAATCTCACAAACGCTCGATAGCCATGTGTATATCAGTCTGCGATACGTCCTTTAGATTAATATCTTTACAGAACGACGACTCGGAGGTTTTTGATTTCGTTTTAAAAATTCTTATTGTTCGTTTAAAAATTCGTATCGTATTGTTAAAAAATTCTTTCGTCCCCGTATTTTGCGATGAAAACCCTAGAGTCGTCCCTCAATAAGAAGTGAATTGTTTCGCACCACGTACGGTAAGCTGCGCTTAGAATTAACTCGATCTAGCTTAGCATTAATGGAAGTTATGAACTCGCTGAATTTGGATAAAATTAATGGAAGCTGCGAGAAAGAAGAATAGCATTTTCGACGATTTTCATTAATTCTAACTTTTACTTTCTGTGCTATGTATAGGAAGCACAATGTGATCGAAGAATCGATTCGCATACGCAATATTTGATAATCGTTGTCGCGAAAATTTTATTCGACTTCGAAATACATATTTTTCTTAAGAAACGTCGTAATTGCACTAGTATTTTTTTCAAGACATTTTTGACTAGATTTACTATCATAATTTCTGATTTATTATAGACAATTGTCCTCTCCATCTTCAAATTTTGATCATTTAAAGCTACAAATATCTTCATCGAAACGTACGATGAAAATATAAAGAAATATTTTTTTTTTGCGATCAAAATTTATGATTTATACAAAATATATTTTTCTTTAAATTACGGACGTTAAAGAAAGATTCAGCACAGCTGAAATAAATAGAAACATGCTAGAAGCACGGATGCTAATAAAGACAGTAACATTATAAATATATATATATAATATAATATTTATCGAGAATCGAAAAAATATGCAAATAATAAGCGCGATTAAAAATTTTTTCAGTGCACGATTCACATATACTATAACTTTTATCGCGATTAAAATCCAAGAAGAGCAAAGTCTCGTTATCGTAATTGACACTATGATTCACTATAAAAAATTCTCGACATAAAATTTTGATAAATATTAATGATCTCATTATCGTAAATCTAGAATTTCTTAGAAATGCTAAAAGAAAAGAACACTTTTAAAGTGCTAACAAAGTTGTGTGCTGATCGTGTTTAAAATACGAGTCGCACGAGTATAATAGAAGCGCACGTCGACAGTTTCAATGTCTTTTTACACACGCATAATAAATTAATATCATTAATGAAATCTCTAATATAAAATTTACTTTGCAAAAGTTAACGTAAAGCGCAGTCTACCGTCCGCCAACCGATGACGACGATATGCACGCATGTATACGCGTATACACGCAAGTACACATACGCATATACATGTGTACACACGGATGTATATACACATATATAGGTATATATATTTATATGTATAAAGGTATTCATAAATTAGAGCTCCTTATATTACTTCTTTTTAAATTATCGAATAAGAAATAATAATATTAATATATATACAGGTACAGGTCTCGTATAGTTGCAGTCGTGTCGTCACTAATTGTTCGAGTCTTCTTGTTGTTGCTCCTTGTTATTGAGCATTCGCTGTTACGCGAATGTTAATTATGACGGGTGCCGACAAAATCCGCCATTTTACACACGGGCCTACAATTTTAGCACGTCGAAGACCGCACAGAATTTCATTTTAAAATTTATATACATTTAAAGTAATACATTTAAAGTTAGTTTTTGCAATGTAATTAACGTCATGCGATCATTGCGAGCTTCTGAAAGTATACATGTAGTATAGTAAAATCTTGCTAAATTACAATTAAAAAAAAAATTAAGAATCATTTTTTAGAATCTGAATAAACTTGAAGTGTTTTTCAATGGATTTTTGTTCGCCGAAAACGAATCCATCGGATTGGCCTAACACGTCAGGTTTCCAAGAAAATTAAGATTAAATGTGTCAAAATTAGTATTTTTAACTATATTTTTGCGGCCAAAGTAAATTTTTTTTCTATCTTTCTATCTTTTATCTATTCAAGTCATTGAAAATTCATTGTATCATTATGGTGTGTCTTCGACGTGCAATTGCAAAATGCATCGTGGGAGAATAATTGAGAAACCCGATTTTGGTACCGTTGCTTATGCGACTGTTTTTTCTTTCTCCTGAAATGGCAGTATTACGATCTTATCAAGCAATTAAATCTAATTATTTCAAACACCATTCTCCCTTTCGTTGATAACGCTACGATAGAAAAAATATAGAAACGAGTATTTACAAGGATAATTTACAAGGAAGGAACTTTATGCGTGTTTCTAGACAGAACTTCGTCAGCTTTTCTAGAAAAAAATCCATCTTTTCTTTTTCGTCTTCGATATTAAAACAATAAAGTTCAAAGTGTCCGCTAAAAAATTAAGCGGTTGTTGATTAATCGATTAAACTTCTATTGTACAATTAACGATAATCGATCATTTTATGGATTAATTAATAATTTCTCATTATTTTCGGAAATTATTCATTAATCGTCTTAAATTTTGATGAAATATGATTGAAAAAAAATTAATAATTGAAATAAATAATAAATAATTGAATCTAGAATATTTTCTTTATTTCTAATATCATTCAAGTTTAGCTTCCACAGTTATTATAATACAATTCAACATCGAAATTATAATGATTAATAATAAAAATAATGAAAAACAAAATAAATAAAATTTTTTAATATAATTTTGTCATATTATTTTAGTATTATGTATTTTTGATTTTCAGAATATATAATTATAGAAAAAGAATTTAATTCTCAAATTAGATTAAAGAAAATATTAATAGAAATCTATTTTTATTAATAGAAAATTATTTTATCATTTTAAAAATCCATTATAATATTTCATCGAAATTAAGAAGAAGAGCTTGCGAAGATTTCTTGTGCGACACTATTTGCAAAAGCTCTGTTCTTTACTGCCATTTCAGAAAAGGAAAGCTCCCATGTCCATTCTTTTTTCTGTCGCGAGCAACTCTCTTATCTTTCCACGATTGCATTTTGCGTTCGAGCAGAAGGGGGCTCATACCCCATTATGTGACTTATATATTTATATAACATTGTAATGTACTTATGTACACTCGATAATGTGTGGTTGGGACGTTTCTATGACGCTCGGCCGACCCACGGAATTTTCCAAGTTGTGAAGGGACGTGGAGTGCGGGCCATGTGTCGATCCATGCCTGTCGTAATTATCAATGTGCTCCAATTCGCATTCCTTGGGCATATTTCCTGCAAGGATCATTGCTCATCTAGTGTTATCCTTATTTTCTTATCTAATGCCTAGTGCATTTATTCTGTACTTTTGAATAATCGATCAATTCTTTCTGAGATTCTAAGTATATCGACAAATTTCCCGATTAATAATATCTTTTGAACGTTTTAATGAATTTTACGATTATCTTAGCAACGAAAGATAAGTAATTCCTTTATTTTGATTTATCGAGAATTCATACTTACCAACATTCATATCAGGACCATACTCGTAATACGTCGGTGAACCCACGGCCGCGGCAAGCGCGAGCTCGTCCTCGATATTATTTGGTCTGCAGCTCGTTGTCTTCCAGTGAGTTCTGAGGCCGCTCGCGCTAATGTATTTTTTATCGCAACCTTGGCAGGTGTACGGTCGTTCGTTTGTGTGTAACCTCTTGTGCAGTTTCAAATGAACAAATTGGGTGAACTTGGCGGGGCAAAGGTCGCAGGCGTATGGCTTTTGACCAGAGTGCAGTCTAAGGTGGGTCTTTAGATTCGAAGTCGAGCTGAACCTCTTTTTGCATATCTCGCATTGGTGCGGCTTTTCACCTGAGGACAGTCGTATTTGATAAAAATGTGCATATATTATTTAACATAAAATATTTGACAATAGATAGTAATATCTTAATCAAATTCTTGATAAGTAAATTGTATCTATCATGACAATTATTATCTTCTTTGTATTTAGGAAATGTTGCATTTGGATGTAGAAGAAAAGAATCGAGAATCCTTTTTATGTATGTATTAATTAGTTATCCAATTATAATGTTATATGACATTACGATTCGCAGTATAATGTTTGTTAGATTTTTGCACACGAAGGATGTACGAAAAAAAAAAAAAAAAAATGGAAAGTAGTTATTTAAAACGTTTAAAGAGTAATATATAAACTTTTTAATCAAATCTTAAATAAATAAATTCAACTCTACAAAATGAACATTTCATAAAATACATTAAGAGAATCCTAAAGCCATCTGTATTATCGACTAAATCATAATTTTTGTATAACAATTACTTTTTTCCTCTTTTACAAATTTGAAAATTTTTTTCCCAGGATTAAAATATACGCATTAATAGTGTCTGTGAGGAGGAATTTATGTCGAGAATAACAAAAAATTTTTCTTAAGATTTCAATTTCAAAATTTTTTGTTGTTCTCGGCATAAACTCTACCTCACAGACACGTATACTTTAATTCTGGAAAAGGATTTTCAAATCTGTAAAAGAGTAATTTTTACATAAATTTAGTTCGATAACATAGACGGTTTTAGGACTCCCTTAATAATAATGCGCTAAAAAATTGGAATATCACTTTATTACTTCCAATTATTTCGACAATTACATCAAGATTAATACTTGTATTAGCTTACCGGTATGCACGAGATGATGCTTTTGGAGATGCGCGAGTTGAGTGAAGCTTTTGGTACAAACGTTACATTTGAAGGGCCTTTCGCCAGAATGCGTCCTCAGGTGTACCTTGAGATTTGATAGCTGACCAAAGGTTTTGCAACAGACGTTGCATTCGTAATGCATCTTGCCGTCTTTTTTCTTGAGCGGATAAGGCAGCGACCTGTAACCCCTCGAACCCTGGGAATTGGGGCTAAGGGAGCCGCTCTGGGAACAACCGTGATCGTCCGGTGATAAGGAACTCGCCGGTGAGTATCTGTTGAGAGATGACGAGGAATTTGGATGAATGGTAAGACCCGGATGATGACCGAGATGAAGATTGTGCGTGCCGGTGATCAATGCCTGGTTGCCATCAATTTGCATGGTTGATGAGGTGGGCAATTGATGGCCGCCACTGCTGGTGGCCTCTAGCCGTCTGCCATCCGTCGTCCTTTCGTAAACGACATTGCTACTCGGCGTGGGCGAATAGGCGGTGCAGTTGATAGACAACGACGAACTCATATTGTGATGTAGCGAACTATTCTGATGACCGTACAGACTACCATACGGACTGTAGGATGAGGGCGATTGAATCGGCGAAATCGGCGAGATGCTCTGATTACTGCTGGTACTGCTATTGCTACTGCCAGCGGAGTTTGGGTAAACCGGACTGGCGGACTCGATCTGACAGCCAGCGGCCCCGGAACTGCCGGAGTAAAGGATCGTTGTTGGGGTGGATACACCGTTCTGACTTGACGATGGCGACGGCGATTTGGTCTTTCGCTTGGGCAGACAACCATTTGCCGTTGTGGATGCCGAATGCGGGCTGGTAGACGTTAGCATCGCGTTAGATGAGAGCACGCTCGTGCTGGAATGTATGCCGCCACCGGCGTTGCTAGACGAATGCAAACTTCCCGGATGCGGTGGTAAGCTGCCATTGTTTCCACCGGTGCTTGAATGTAGCCCTCCTGTGCTGGAGTGTAGATTACCAGTGGGACTCTGCATACTAGATAGCGTACCACCGTTGCTGCTGGTCGAGTTCACGCACGAGTCCGTTTGTAGAGGCAGATTCGAACTAGAGTCCGGGCTGCAGGGCAAAATGTTTCCATAACGATGAGACTTCTTGTAGGAATATGCCATCTCGGTGGGACTGGACGGTGGCGGCGTCACTGAGTCTACGTGAGTCTGATGATGCAGCTGATGATGCTGATGGTGTTGTTGCGAACCGCCATTGTGATGATGGTTGTGGCTATTATTGTTGTTGTCTGTGCTGTTACGTAGTAGAATGTTCTCCAGAATAGAACTGCTGGGGTTAGCTATGTAGGCAGATCTGCCGGACATTGGCAGATTACCACCTTTGACTTCCGGTTCGTAGAAAGGTTTCATGTTCTTCTCAGATATCTCATCCTCAGTCACGGTCGATAGAACCGTGCTTTTCTGTAGAATAACAGGTGATACCGGCTTTTGGAGTTCCGGAGTAACTGCTCGGCTGGACAATTCCTGCTCCTTATCCTTCGGGCCGTCAGTTATACCCTTTGTCGCCTGGAAGTTACCGTAGGTCTTGGAAATTTTGATCTTAACTTTCCTATATTCGTTTTTCACCGCGGTGTTGTCCTGCTTCAGAATCTCATCGTTGCACACTGACGATTTGGCATTTTTACTGAAATCCAACACGTAGTTGTTCTCACTATCGGACTCACTGCTTTCCTCTGGTGGTGTCAAAATCTCATCGTGATAGCCATTTGAATGGTAACCCTCGTCTGACCTCACGGAACCATCCGTTGGTGTCATCTGACGTCTCTCGTAGATTGCTGGATCTTTCAGAGGCGATATCACGTCGACGGCGGGCGAAATTTCCGTTGGTAGCGTTGATTGTTGTACTTGTTGTCCTGAAAATAATTGATAATGAATATATTATATAAAAATATATAATAATAATAAATAT